TGCCCCTTTGTGCCTCTCTTTACTCCTCCTAGACCCCTTCCACACCTTTATGCCTCGCTCCATAATTAGACCAAAGGATGCGTCTCGGTTTGCGTGTCCCCTTGTTTCGAAAGTGTTACCTGGTTTCATCTTATAGAGCACTTTGAAAATACACCAGATCCAGTGGAGTTCCATGAATGACCAGTAGGGGGCCATGGCGCTGTCCACGCTGCTGCATATTGAGCCCACGGTATCCGACGCGGAGAGCAAGCCAGCAGCTGAATGGCTTCCATGGTGTAAACAGGCTGCTTCTCTGGCGGCCAGGGGGAGGGACGTCCCAGCCTTAGCTGTGTTAGCTACGGCTTGGGTATGGTGTAGGGTGGGGGAGCTGGGGGCTGACTGACCTCCAGTGTGTCATCAGCTTCCTCCTCACGTGCTCTTCCTCTGAGCTCGGTCAGCTACCACCTGGAGGACTAGCCAGTCTGCTCAGGCCGGATAGTGTCTGGCTGTCCGGAAAAGCCCCCCCCCCCCCCCCCCCCCGTTTGCTGCTGGAAGGTGTGTTCGCGTCAGTTGATGGATGTGAGGGTGCTATGTCTCCGGCCATCGAGAAGCGACCGTCTCCATTGGCTGATGTTGGCAGCCTGCGTCCCTCCCTACTCAAGCTATGCTCCTGTCCCCTGCACTGTTCCATCAACTCTGAGCGGTGGCCCATTTGCATCACGTTTAACCCCCACCCCCCCACCCCATTGGGTGCAGGGACCAGCGTGTATGTGTGTCTATGTTTCCTTGCGGGGGTCAATGTGCCAGCTTCGTGAGTAGAGTCACCTGGGGGGGGGCAGGACCTGAGTGCACAGAGGCAGAATGTACAGCAGCGTTTCCTGTACTGTGGTGGAGGGGCTGAACATTGTTGGGGGGGGGAATTGAGGAAATTGTGATATCCTCAGTGTTTTGTACGTACTGAACAAGGCCTGATGTTTTATCTGGTCAGTAATACAAGGTGAAGTCTAAATGTTGGTAAAGATGTTGAAATAATAAAGTTGATTAGTGGCTGTCAGCTCATTTGTTATATTAGGAATTTGATGTTGGAATTAGCATAACGATGTGTTTTGTGACTGATTCCCATTTTCAGGCCTTACGCTCTGTCTTACACTGTGGAATGTGTAAATATGGTGTTACACTCTGACTTACATCGTAGGGTGTGTAAATATGGCGGCACACTGCCTTACATCGTCGGGTGTGTAAATATGGCGGCACGCTCTGCCTTACACGGTGGGATGTGTAAACATGGTGCCACACCATGTCTCACGTTGTGGGATGTGCAAATATGGCGTTTTGCTCCGTCTTACACTGTGGGATGTGTAAATGTGGCATTAGGCTTTATCTTCCGCTTCGGGGTGCGTGAATATGTACTCTGCCGTCAGGTGTACGAATACAGCATTACGCTCTGTCTTCCACAGCGGGGTGGGAGTTACGCTCTGTCTGCAGGGTGACTTAGTCATACAGAAAGTTCTCAGGGGGATGGACACTGACCTCACACAGTGTGGTGGCATGAGGATGGGAGGTGTGGTTTCATAGTCTGCAGCTTGTTCAGGGGGGGCGGGCTATTGTTGGGTTGCTCAGGTGTTGTGAGCATGAAGCAAGAGCACAAGCGGCGAGGTCTGCTTCCTTTTGTGGTTTCAAATGACCTCAGAGCCGAATCTGCAGCTGACGTCTTGCAGAGCTTTTCAGACACATTTATGACCCTCCAGCCACAGCTCAGCTTGATACATGCGGCTGTGAAGTTACGCCTATCTGTGTATGTGTCTTTATATGATTAATTGAAGAAAAATATATACATTACTCCACTGTATGTGTGGTCCAGGTGTACATTACTTTGTGGGGACCAAATGTCCCCACAATGTGATAAAATCCTGATATATTTTTTTGGGCCCCACATGGGGAATTCAGTTTTATAAAAAATATGCATAAACCTTCTATTTTATTTGGGAAGTTATGGTTAAGGTTAGGGCTGGGTAGGGGTTAAGGCTGTCATTGTGTGTGTGTGTGTATGTGTGTGTGTGTGTGTGTGTGTGTGGTCACAGTTCCCAGCCTCCTGCCGCTGGCCCCTCTCTAAATGGGGAAGTCGTGACCCTGAGCAGGATCAGGGCACCAGGCTTCTCTCAGCTTCTGTTTGTGGCGCCTTCACAAGTCTGCGGAAACGCACAAACGTGTCCTCGTTTGCTGCGAAATGCAGTGCAGGGTGACTTCCCATTGTCGCTGAATCTTCGCCTCCCTTCACTTTCGCTGTCTGTGATGCATCACTGAAGACGTATGAACGCCTCCCCCCCCACGCACTCAGATCTGAGCCTTCCAAAGGCGTACCCCCTGCCTGCTCCGACCCAAGCTCCACAAAGGCTCGCCCGCTCAGACCTGAACCCCACTAAGGCCTGTCCCCCACCTGCTCAGACCTGAACCCCTCTAAGACCTGTCCCCCACCTGCTCGGATCCGAACCCCACTAAGGCCTGAACCCCGCCCGCTCAGACCCGAACCCCACTAAGGCCTGAACCCCGCCCGCTCAGACCCGAACCCCGCTAAGGCCCGTCCCCCGCCCGCTCAGACCCGAACCCCGCTAAGGCCCGTCCCCCCGCCTGCTTGTATCCAAGCTTGTGAACCCTGTGCTTTCTGGATGACCGTACCACATGCTGTTTGAGGGTGACACTGGGTGGAGGCTGCGAAGGGCATCACTGATGGTGGCCACAGTCATTGCACATGGGTAGAGGACCAGTCCCAGCATATACTGGGCTTTTTTTCTTCTGTACACGTGTCAGGACCTGTGGTCAGCCTGGAGATCGTCTGTCTTGGCAACTGATTGACAGGACTGTTTTTCCAGCTTTGTTATGCTACCATGTCTAAGTTGATTGATCAGGACTGAGGCTCGGGCTGCACGATTTGGGGAAAATATCGAATCGCGATTTTTCTGACAGATATTGCGATTACGATTTGATTTGCGATGACATTTTTTAATGTCAAGCTTCAGTTCAATATGCAGTGTGTAGTCATTTTAAAACATATGACGCAGCATCAGTCTATATTCTAATGCAAGGCTGAGAATTTAAAGCTGTGATGTGTCAAGTTAAATAAAGTAATAATGAAAACAATTGCAGCAAAAAGAAAAATAGCG